GCGAGGAGGACTCTGGGCTTAGTTGCGAGGAGGACTCTGGGCTTAGTTGCGAGGAGGACTCTGGGCTTAGTTGCGAGGAGGACTCTGGGCTTTGTTACGAGCCGGGCTCTGGGCTTAGTAATGTGCTGGACACAGGACCCACCTGAGACCCCACACAGCCCACCTGAAAGTAACCCTGCAGAGCACACCATACATGCTGCAGGTGGCTGGCCTCCTCTGCCGAAGTGACGTGATCCCCCGCTACCTCCGGGCACTCGTCTGTGTCGCTGTCAGACTAGGATTAGTGATGGCGAATGTGTTTTTGAATCAGAGTGTCCAAACTGCGACGCAAAATCAATATATTTATCTCAAAGTGCCAACTCTGAAAATAACTTTAGTATTGTGTAGCAGTTCGGGCGCTTGGGTTTAAAAAATGTTCAGCATCATCACCGCCTCAGACAAAATAGGGAAACACACACATTCAAATATTTATACACTCATTAAAGGAGAACTTTAATTTTTACCTTTTTTTTTACACTCAACTTTATTGCTATCACATAGCGGGCTAAAAAGCCCCTTATGTAATAGCACATATGTGACAGGTCCTCTTCATGGAGACGTCAGGGGTTTTTCATACCCCTAATGTCACCTCGGGACCCCAAAGAAGCTGATGAAGCAGAGATCTGCTTCACCAGCTTCTTCTTCTGGCTCTAAGGGGTTGTCCACACCACTTGCAGTGCATCCCGGCCCGATTCCGGCCGGAACGCACTGCATCACATTGCGGCCGGCTCAATTTTTGCTGTTTAGGAGGGGGAGTGGCGGGCCATTGAAGTGAATGGTGCCATAGCCACGCCCTCCGGCCACAATGCGATCGCCCACACAGGATCGCAGGGCACATTGTGCCTGCGTCCCTATGCGATCAAAATAGTGCTTGCAGCATTTTGACCGCACAACACCGGAACGCACTGCAGGCAGAATGTGCCCTGCGATCCTGTGCACGCGATCAAATTGCGGCCCAGCACAAAAGTGAGCCGGCTGCATTGCGATGCAGTGCGTTCCGGCCGGAACGCACTGTAAGTGGTCTGAACAGGCCCTAAGAGCCAGAGACTGTGTACAGTGACACCGGAAGTGATGTAATTCACATCACTTCCAGGCCCTGTGATCGGAGGAGAGATCCGCCGCTAGAAGCCACTGATCTCTCCTCCGATCTGTCAGGGGAGAACCTCCATGTGCGGCCTGGGCTCACACAAGGGACAGATGAGCCCAGGAAACTGACGGTGGCACCGGCGGCCGTGGAGGAGGGGGGGCACAGCGCTGCACCGTACAAGTGATTCAGCACCTGTACAGACGCCGGATCGCTTGTATTTAAACAGCAATCGTCAGCTGTTTAACACGGTACAAGAACATGGCTTCAGGAGCAGCCGTGTTCTTGGTATAACCACTTCCAGCGGATGACGCACAATTACGGGAACCCGCGGGAAGTGGTTAAAAAAAAAAAAAAAAACACATGTGTAATGAAACACGCACATATCACACACTCATTAAAAAACACACACATAGCTTCATTAAAAAAAATCACACACATTCATACAAAAACACACACAATAAAAACACACACATTAACAATTAAAATAGTTATTTAAAAAACGTCCCCCTCTCCTGCTTACCTGTTTTGCAGGAAGGGGGGCAGCATCCCTGGGCTTCAGTGGACAATCGGTGTGCTCTGCACTCTGGCTGATGCAGGCATACTAATCGATCCCTGCCTGTTAGCAGAGGCACCACGAGGGAGCGATCAGTATGATCTGCATCAGCAAGACATGCAGATCATGCTGATTCCCCACTTGACGACCAGGGAATGATTTTCATTCAATATATTGCCTGTTCGGCAATATATTAAATGATATGTGGGCGCTTGCCAGCTTTAAAGATGGCTGCCGCTACTCGCGGCGGCCATCTTTAAAAACGAATGTACAGTGGAGAGACCCCCTGGGGACACCGGAGGAGGCATCCCAGGTGAGGGTCTGGAGCGTGCGGGCCCCGGCCTCCTCCGGTGCTGCGGGGGGCCCGGCCACATCCTGGCCTGTCACTTGAACGGCCGATACTCATGTAAGGTGCCCGGGCCGGGCCCTTAAGCCTGGCCGGGCCCCTTACATCAATATCGGCCGTACCCCCTGACGGCATCCCTGTGCAGGAGGTGCATCACTCGGCTGTAGATCTTCAAATTATCTCTGAATTTGTTCTGACATTGTCCTTCCTTTGCAGGGTGACTGCTTTGGTTGCCCATGGTCCCTGTGTGTGTTTTTAAAGTAGACACCGCTCCATGCTCACTCCCATGATGGACTACGATCTCATTTTTAGTTTACTATTTTGTATTGAGATTGTAGTCCATCACAGGAGTGAGTTTTAAACGGTCCCCACTTTACACATAAAGGAACATGGGGGACAAAAGTAGCGACCATCCAGGACAGTGTAAGCACCAATTCAGAGATGATGTGAGAATCTACAGCTGAGTGATACACAAATAAGCTACATTTTTGTAAATAAAGGAACATTAAACCCTCTGGGTATTTTTTGCATATATCTACTGCTAGCACGCAGTAGATATATGCAAAAAAATTTTTTAAAAGTCCTCCAAAAAGGGTTTTACTTACCTGTGTCTCCACCACTCGTTCCCATCCGAAGATCTATAAAATTCTCGATATTCTTTAATGTCACTTTAAGGTACTCGAATGCATTTTTAAGATTTAACTCCTGAGGCTCACTTTAAGCCTCACAACAACAGCACTTTTTTAAGCAGTTATAGAAACGGTTTTATTTTCCCTTTTGGGATAAAGGTTTTAACTGAATGAATAAAAGCTGACCATTGTAAGCACCCCTGTCAATGATAAAAAAAATCTATGCAGATGGTGGATGGGTTGTAGATACGTCTGTTAGCATTTGGTGCTTCAAAAAGCTCCATAGAGCAATAGATGTTGCAAAAACTCAATAGAGCCATAGTACAGAGCTAGTGGGAATTGGTTCAATATTTTGCAGTATTCTTCTGAATAAGTGTTAGTAAAATTTCTAAATTTGCAATCAGTGCACCCTAAGGCGAACTGTGAATACTAATATACAGTTCTGCAGCTTGGAACTGTTGTCTCATACAGAGTCCTTTATACTTAATACTGCAAATATTGGCCCAATTCCCACTACCTCTTTACTGAATAATTTTAAATTGAAACTGCGCCCAAATCATGCACACTAATGTTTTATTACAGATTACGAATAGTTAGTAAAAGCACTTGAAATAAGGTCTAATTTACTGCTGTATCTATAAGTATTGTGGAGAGATGAATTTTCATAATTCACGACACAGGCATTGTGCTTTTCTGTAAGGACAGAGTCTAGGCAGGCAGCCGGCCCTCCTAATATAAACAACCATCAGGTGTTTTTAAAATGTTAGAAACCAGTAACCTACCCAACTTCAGAGTCTTTGCCGTGATCTTAACCTCACATTAAAATCAGCTGGCATGTGGGCTTGTTTGAAAGTTCTTTCACTGCTTGGTAAAAAAAAAAAAAAAATTTAATGTCCATAGTCAGGGCACAGGTGAATGTTAAGGGGGTTATTCACAAAGCTGCCGTAGGCAGCCGAATGAATAACCGACCCAAAGTGAAGTGAGCCGATCGGCTGTACATCGGCTTGCTGCGGCTGGCTTTGGGTCGGCCAAACATGCTCAGCATGTTCGGCTGACCCGAAGTGCAGAAGGAGTTCGAATCAGCCGATCCAACATCTGGATCGACTGAGCCGAACCTCCGGCACGCTACTCACTGCTGTTCGGCCTATTCTCATAGATGCCGACAACAGTGAGTGAATATCCGAATGCCGCTGAGCTGCATTCTGCTCGGCTATTCTGCTCGGCACCTCTGGTGGTACCGAGCAGGACAAAACAGTTTAAAAAAAATTTAAAATGATTGGGCGGAGCTAGCAGTGACGGCAAGCTCCGCCCAACTTTTTCCTATTGGCCAGGACCAGCTGTCATTACAATGAGAGCTTGTCGGAGCCGGCGGGGATATGAAAGCTGACTCTGCTCAGCTCTCATCCTAATGGCAGAACAGCGTCCGCTGGTTACCGAGTAACCAGCGGACGCTGTTCTGTCATTAGGATGAGAGCTGAGCAGAGTCGGCTTTCATATCACTGCTGGCTCTCCTAAGCTCCGCCGGGTTCTCAGTGTAATGACAGATGGGCGTCCCTGATAACCAGGGACGCCCATCTGTCATTACACACAGAACCTGGCGGAGCCACGGTGTAATCTCAGAACGCGTCCCTGGTAACCTGGTCACCTGGTCACCAGGGACACTGATCTGAATCTGCAAGTGGCCCAGCTGTCAGTAGCAGGCTGTCAGCCAGCTTCGGATTTCCCCTGGGCTCAGTCGAGCTGAAGTATATGCCTTCGGCTCGACTTAGCTCCTCGGCCAACTTCGGGAGCTATACGGGCTATAGTGAATAGCCCATACAGTAGCCCCTCGGTTCTACTGAACCGAAGGGGTCCTGGGGCCGAAGCTAGCTGAAGGATCAGCCGAAGCTAAGGCTAGCTCCTTCAGCAGCTTTGTGAATAACCCCCTAAATGTATTGGGAAACAGTGGGAAGCAAGCTTGGTCTGCAATCTGCTCCCAACATCAACAGCCTTGACATGATGAGGAGCAGCAGTGCCTCATATGGCTTGTAATGCTTTTAACTTTTGCACACATGCTATGGCTGTTAGACATATTGGATTCCCCTTAAGCACTGAATGTCTTTTAACTTTTTTTTTGTGGTAAGGGTTTTTATTTTTTTTTATTGCACATAAGTCATGTTATGTGATAGGTTTAGATGAAACTAGCACTTAGCATAGTTGTGTAAATATTGTACTTCTTTAAATAACCAAGTTCCTGCGTAATAGTGATGTTCACATGTCTCAAAGTATCTGATAACGATCTTCATTATAAAAATATTTCTCTCTTAAAAGAATTTTAAGCATCTTAAAACTTTACTTCCGCTCAAGGAACTCCTACTTGCAGAGAAGTGGGCACGCATGAATAAGCTACCATTTCCAAAGATAGACCCGCATGTCTTTGATAGAGAAGGCTTGAAGGAATGTTACATATTTCGACCAAAGAACCCATCGATAGAAAAAGACTGTCCTACAGTGCTTCATTTTGTTTTGGCTAACATTGAATTTAGAAAGTTCAAAGCTCCAGGTAAGTGAAATAAATCATGACAGCATGGATTTTTGTTAAATAACGCTGTAAAAATTACATGATACATTTTTTCTATCAATAAAATATTATTTTCAATTAAATCAGAATACAATACAGGTATGTGCCTACAACACAGTTAGGTACTGGTATAGAAAAAAATATCACTGGTGCCAAAAAACAAGACACCTCCCAAAAACAGCTCCAAACACTCGGGGGCAGCTCCTCACAGTCAGGGCAAACCGGATGTCTAATAAAAACAAAGCAAAAGGAGCGCCTCCATAGTGTAAAACTGATTTAATAGAGGTTAAAATACAGCTGAAAATGTATTTACAAACGGCTGATAAAAACGAGCATTGAAAGTGATAATCCAGGCTCTGAACCTCTGACGATAGGGGTTCGACCTCTGAAACGCGTCAACCGGAGGAGGACTAGTGTACAGATGACGTTGGCTCAGCACTAGTACTTCCGATTTCTCACTTCGTTTTCGTTTGTCCATCTTGATCAATTCGAGATTATCACTTTCAATGCTCTTCCAACTTTTATAATCAACACCACGTTCGTGAATGCAAAAACAATTGGTGAATCAGTGCTCTCCAGTCTCCACCATGCTCAAAGATAAGATCTGGCCACACTCACCGACTCCTATTGCTCACCATATTTCAGATGAACAATTAGCGCTTTGTTGATGTATAGAACCAAATCCTCTCCTTTTGTTTTTAATCCGACAATAAATTGGGGTAGATTCCTCCCAACTATGGCTTATCTTTCCAAAATCGTGTAAAACTATTACTCCATCTTCCACCTCTTGTGCTCAGAGAGAGAAAAAAAAATGCACTTACAATTAAAATAAGGCAATTGCACATGGATTGTGTCCACTGGAGCTCCTGTCTCTATTATTGCAATGCTCGCATAGATCCGCCCACCTGATGCATTTCATCACTATTGACTTTCTCTGAGCCGACGGTCTGCATAATTTATTGTAAGACCAAAATTCAGATTTAAAAAAACTGCCCACTTCCATGAGCACAGCAATTTAATCATGTTCTCTATTTTGTGCTCAGCTCCACTGTCATTTTATTTCTTCAGATATGGGTGGAATTGGTTCTATTTATTGTGTCTACAAAAAAAAACACACACAATTTGGGCCATGCCAAAATGAAATGTCCATTAAGCTTGTAAGTTACACCATGGAAGCACTAGTTAATTCAGTTAATTTAGTAAGTTACTCTGATGCAATTTGTACATTGTCGTCATATTCTTTAGTTCCACACTATTTATGTTTGTCAAGTTCAGCCAAGTTTGTTTGAGTTAGATGTGTCCTCCTATACACATAGCGACTGTCTGTCTACTGGAAACATAAATGCTAATAAATTATAGATGAACAGTGAACTTGTGAAATACATCCGTTTTTAAAGCCAGATTGTCAGTTTTGGGTTCTTTTTGTGGATTCTGCCCTTAGCACTGAATGTATCTAAACGGGGAATGTCCTACCTTTTAAGATACCGACCCCAGCACACACATTTTATCCTGTATGTATCCTGCCCCCAGCATACACACCTCACTTCCCAGGACCCATCCCAGTAATGGAATAGCCTCTCCAGTACACAGAGCTCACTAGCCAGTCTCCAGTCCAGTGTTTGTGTTAACCCCTTAGTGCCCAGTCTGAAGTGCATGTGCTTCAATCCCTCAGTGATCAGTCTACAGGGTATGTGTGTCAACACTCAGTGGTCAATCTGCAGAGTGTGTTAACCCTACAATGGGCAGTCTTCAGAGTATGGGTGTTCATCCCCTGAATGGCAAGTCTTTAAAGTATGCATGCCAATGACTTATTGTTCATAGTCTAGAGTTGATCCCTAGGCAACTGGCTTTATAAGCAGTTGAAAAAATGTTTACTGTCCTCCATAGTTAATGTATAATTTCTAGAGTGAAGATTATTTTTTTTAAATGGTCGCTTTTCATAACTGCATGCATTTTGTGCTGTTTTCTATGAATGTGGTAATCTAGGTTGTTGTCATTTAGGTGTTCCCAGGGAGACGGTGGAAGAAAAAGATTTTGCAGATTTTGATATTTTTGATGACCCTGAAAGCCCATTTTCAACATTTAATTTTCAGTATCCAAACGAAGCATATAAAAGATTACATGACCTCATGGAGTTCAACACACTCAACAACATACAAGTATGTATCATATTTTGGGGCTGTAATGAAGCAGAACACTTGGCGCAGATTAGAATGTGAAGTTTAACAAAAAACAAGACCACAAAAACAACAAGTGGGTTCTTGACATGTAAAAGTAGGAACACCCGTGGTGAATTTAACCAGAAATAAACACCACAAATACACCAATGCTGTGTATCTTAACCCACAGATTAACCAAACAGTAATATCAATATGTGAAATTATGATTAAATATACATAACTCAGATAGAGCACAAGGATATACTTTATTATCTCAGATAAAACCCCATGTCCACTTCAGTGTCAAACAGAAAATGGATGATTAAGTATGATACTCTCATGAGTTGACATTATCAGTTAAACAAAAAAGTAATCACGTGCCTGAGGTTATAGGTTGATGGTAACCAGAGACCAGCCTTGTCCAATGAATGTCCACTGATAAAAACTGTGCACAAATTAATTAATGGAAAATTATTTTTTTAAGCCGTTCTTTCTCAGTAGCAAGTAAGCCACAGTATATGTGCCCAGGCACTGGTATACATTATTAATGTATATAAACAGTCACCAGAGTAATGGCCCACTGAGAGCAAAGGGCCGCTCACTGCAAATGACTATCATAGTACACCAAATGGAGTACCAAAGAGTGACCAAAACCATTCCATATATGTCACATTGTGGTGGTGCCCCCCTATTTTTACAGATGTACATTAGCCCAGCTCCAATAATATCTATTTAACATGCTGCATAACTACACTTGCAAAATATACAAAACCCTATATAAAGTTGTACCGTGGTGTCCTGTACCAACTGTGATGATAGCCTTTGTGAATGTCAACCAATATGTTAATGATATTTGCCATAATGTTGATAATATAACAGATCCATGCAGACACAAACGAGTCCTGGACTGAATGTGCAATCTGATACCAGGGAAGTATAAAATCACTGCAATCAGGATATCTCCTGCCTTTTGCATATTTAGTATGCACTGTATTTGCCAAAGGATCTCTCATGTGAGCGTACTTATCCATCAGATGAAAATATCAGTTGTTACATCTTTAGTGAATCTCCACTGTATTGAGGCTACAGGAGGTTTAGCAAGCTGAGACATAATAGGCAGCCAGGTCCCCGGGATCCTCTCCTGACCAGTTTCTCCGAAATGAACCAGCTGCTTCAGAATAAGAGCAATTAACTGTGTATTCTTAAATGGAGTCCCTGAATAGAACTACATTCGATATATGATATCCCTTCGCAGCCCAAGCCTATCAGATAAACAATAAGACACAATATGGCAATGGCAACTACTATGCCCCACCAAGTCATAAAACATTCATGGCTTCTGGGACTCCACGGCACAACAGGGAGGTTTTCACATGTTTCTGTATAACACTTCACCAACAATTCATAAATCATGCATACTTTAGAAAAAGGGAGCAAAGTCAATGGAGACATTAACACCAGGAAGTTGGGTGATCCTCGTCAGATATAGCCATTTGGATTCTATCTGCAAAAGTCCCTTGCTTAAGTCCCTACTTATATCTTTATGTACATGTTCTAAACCCCAGAACATACTTTATATGCCGTGTATAGTATGAGGAAGGTTTTCTGGGCGTGTGTTGTACACCCAGTGTTCATAGCTGGTTAATGTTCAGAACTTTTGTTGAGTAAACCTGAAAAGGTGTTGAAGCTTCTGTATTTTGCAGATTTAACAAAGAAACTCTGCTAAAAACCACAACACTTTGTAGTTCTGGGATATCATTATAATATAGGCTACATATAGTAACACTTGCATTAAGCCCTAACCAAAGTATTGACAAAATGTCTGGAAATATGCTGTAATGCTGATTCATAGATCATCTTTAAACAACTTAAAGATTATTGAGAAACAATTCTGATTCTGGAACTTCTTTGAAATTCTCAGCTACTTTATCTCTTTGAAGATTTCAGCTTGTTAATAGTAATGTAAACTTCATAACATTTGACTCCATTTCATTTTTCTTTTTTTATTTCTTTATTGGCATTGTAAATTCATTAAATGTAAATACTACATTACTACAGTAAATACAATGAGTCAGTGAAAACTGAATTGCATTAATTGTATTGTATCATACACTGTAGTCATTTCTAAATGTATCTTTCAAAAAATAACCATATAGAAAAGTCTGCCTGTTCTACCCTATGTTTTCAGTGTCACCATTTCGAGAAAGAACCAATACTTACCAGGATATATCATTACAAAGCTATAGCACTCTCCAGCTACAATTATCAACTCTAGTTTGCAGTATTCTGGCAAAGTTTTCTATAGAGCAGCCGGAATTATTACAACACCCAACAATGTACATGTCTAACTGACTTTGGTTTATAAACACATCCTCAGGGAAGTAAGCCACAGGACACTATGGGGGTTATTCACTAAGCTGCCGAAGGGAGTCAAGTGAATAACCGAGCCGAAGTGAACTGAGCTGAACGGTGTTCGGCTATTCACATCAGCTCTGTACGGCTGAGTCCAGCTCTACAAACATGCTCTTTAGGTTATGATTGCTCGGTTTACAATTTTTCGACTTTACGATCGTATATATATATACATACATACACACACATACACTGTATACAGATGCTCATTGGGTTGTGTATATAATGTACTGTATATATCATAGCCTGGCTTGCCTTAAACTTGGCTAAAACACCTACAGTAACCTACAGAGGGATAAAAGCCTACTGTATTTTATAATAAAGTGTTGAATATCATGTATATACAACTCCTCTGTTTACGATACGATATCGAGGAGTGTCTGTACTACACTCTTTACATTTTTGAGTGCTGTGATTGGTCTCTCTTGGGATCACCAGTCACAGAGATCCCAAGGTCCAGAGCCATTTAGATTGGCTTTGTACACAGTGTCTGCGAACTTTTCTGTCCAGGGACGGTTCGGTTCACATTCCTTAACGGTCACAGCAGCCCGATGTTTATTTCTGCGGTGACGTTTAAAGGCAGCACAGCAGAAATAAGCATCCGCCACTTTGCCATTTAAATATGTACGGCAGTAGGAAAGTGGTTAAACTGTTTGACTTCCCACTGCACTGGTTAGCATTTAAACTACGTTTTCTATCTAGTGCCTGTGCAGCATTGTGCAGGAGCAAATTTGAGCTCCAAAGATTGGGACAGCCAAGTTGGCCAGACCATGTGTTTGGAGATAACTGTCCTGAAACATTAACAAAAAATCAACACACACATGCCTAAAAGCAAGAAAAGTTTTTGAAGTGACAAATTTTACTTTTCTTAGTCAAAATGTAACTACATAGAGACCCAGATAGTGAGAGATACAGAAAGTGAGCACTATACATAGAGAATATTGTAAAAATAATCTGATTGCAAAGGAATGCCATTGGAACATCCACTGTGTGAGATAGCCTAGATGTTTTTTCACAATGGAGTTCAAGAATTCATCTTCTCATTCCTTAGCCTTTTCATTTTATGATTCACTTGATAAAGGAACAGGATGTCAAGGTGGATCTAATAAAACATTTTGCATTCCCCTAATATTTTAAATGCAAGAATTATGAGATCATCAAACATCAGACATCAATCTCTTCCTTCCTAAAGCTGGTCCTACCCATATGGATTTTCTTTCATCATCTTGCAGACAGAAAAGCAAAGATCACTCAATTTCCCTATCCAGGCTTAAAAGCATATATGAAGGAATCTGCTATTGTATTCTGACAGCCACGATACCCACAATTGTCTAAATACCTGAACTGTACTTTGAATACCTAAGCAGTGCTCAGACTGCATCTGATAGAAAGCAGTTGCTGTTTGGCTGGAAATTTTCTCCCCAACCCAGTTATTTTTTAAATCTTATTAAATAGTCATATTTGTATAGTTGGGTGGTACTGACAGGGCCACCCACAGCTCAAATATTGGCAAATTCAGCAGGAATCAGGCAAAATTTGAGCCATGTATAGCTAGTTTAAGAATACTATTATCAAACCCCCTCTTTTAAAGTGACCGTAAACTCAGGAGTTGAATCTTACAAATGGATTCCAGTACCATAACTATAAACAAAAATGTATCTTATTTGTGTATCACTCAGCTGTAGATCATCAAATCATCTCTGAATTAATGTTGACATTGTCTTTCCTTCTGGAGCCGTGGCTACTTTTGTTCCCCATGGTCCCTGTGTGTGTTGTAAAGAAGCCACCGCTCCAAGTTCACTCCTGTGATGGACTACAATCTCACGTTTAGTTTACTAATTTATACTGAGATTGTAGTCCATTATGGGAATGAGCTTGGAGCGGTGGCTACTTTACACCACAACACACAGGGACCATGGGAACAAAAGAAGCCACCCTCCAGAAGGAAGGACAGTGTCGGCACAAATTCAGAGATGATCTGAGGTTCTACAGCCGAGTGATACACAAATAAGCTTAATTTTTAATAATTGAGGTACTAGAATGCATTTTTAAGATTTAACTCCTGAGTTTAGTGTCACTTTAATGTTGCCAACATTACATGAATATCTGCATGGCAAAGATTCTGAATAATAGATTTTTGATTTACATGTACTTTAAGGGATACAGGATTCAGTTGTTCTGAGACAATTGGGTTATACTGTCGTTTACAGGAGGAGTTGGACACAGCAAACTAAAAAGCTGTTGGCCAGCCAGATATAACCCCTCCCACTCCCAGTATTCTTCAGGTTTTGCTAGATTCCTAGGATAATGGACATCATGTCTTTTCATCATGACTTTACCCAATCATTGCTCTCCCTTTCTCTGTGCCCTGATTGGGCAAAGTCTTGCACCTGACCTGTAGTCAGATGCAAGGCTTTAGCCAATCAGGGCTCACAAGGCACAGTGCCTTGTGCGGGGTGCTCAGCGGCGAACATCCCGCTGAACACCCTGACAGTTCATGTGTTCGCCGAATACACGAACGTCGATGTTCGAGTCGAACTCACGTTCGGCTCAAACATCGAGCCCAACCCTATTTATAAACAGATCATTTTTGTACAAGTCATTCTGAATGGAGGAAAGTTAGTCAGATGACCAGCAAAACGTCTTCAAGAAAATACAATAAGACCAGTTGTCTCGATTTAATTTTTACAGAGATCTTTAGAGAAAAATTTAACCTTTTTACTTTTAGGGTAAATTTACCCTTTTTACTAGCAATTTTATTTTTTCCTTAAGATATGTTCTTCAAACAAGAGCTGCAGCTATGCAGATTGGTGTTTCCTTGGTGCGGCCTTGGAGGCCATACCTGGACCCCACTGTACCGAAGACTGTAGGCCCTGCCTGAATGGCAACCATTGAGCATTGGGCTCCACTAACAGTTCTGTTGGATCTTGAATGGTTCCTTCTAAGGTTTACTGCCCTGCTCCATGGTCACTGGCTTTAAATCACATAGCTGTTGAAACCCAGGTCTTAAAAGAACTGAATTTTAGTTATTCCCACGCTATTAAAAGCTTGCTTTTCTAGGTGCAAGGAAATATATTTTCTAAAATCAGGTCTGGATTGCCATTTGGACTGAAGTATCATCAACGGAGAAATCTCAGCCTTTGCAATCTTATTCCAAATATACATCTAGCTTCCCATTCATTGGTCAAGACATTTGTACAGGGTGTCTCATTTGTTACCTCCTGTGCAAACACCTATGACTCAGTGGAATCTAAATCTGGTTCTGTCAGCACTTAAAAGACTGCCTTTTGAACCTATCAGAGATATACCCTCTTCCTCTCTCACTCACAAGGTTGTGCTCCAAGTTGTCATAGATGGTGGCCTTGTCCTGTAAATAACTTTTTCTGGTCTTACACAAAGACAAATTGGTACTATCTAGTGGTGAGAATGCCATGTGAATGGAATTCAGCCAGTATATGTCAGGTCAGATGATTTATATATTATCCTCTCTATATTACTTGGCTGTATTTGAAAGACCACAGACATATTTATTATCAGTGTCTCTTTTGCTAGTAACTAACAGAAGAGCAGTGGATGAGCGCTGTGGTGGAGGAGCTGTGGTACTGATCTGAGTATCTTGGAAAATAGATTTTTACACCAATTAGTTCTAATTGATCGCCATATTTTCTGCCATTTTCCCCATTTATGTAAGCAGACAAGCAAATAATTAATTAATCAGAGTACACACTCAGGGTGCTCATGAAGAAAGTAGCTGTAAACCCTAAGTGACATACAATTAGGGACAGATGAGTTGATTGGCCCTGTATGCAGACAGTTTGCAGAAGCTTATATATTCTAGGTATAAATAATTATATCAACCAGAAAACTTTAAAGTTTGCGGGATTAACAAGGATGTTATGGTTTTGTGGCTACTGTATTTTGACCTTCTTTGACGTATGTAGTAACATTAAACCTTTTCCTGGGTGGAATGGGGAATGGGTAATGTAGCACTTTTGGCTCCTAAGATGCTCACATACTTGTAGAAATAAATACAAGTAAGATGAAAGATATATGGCAAGTGTTGGCATGAAAATGTACCTGGGCCCTTTGCTTATTCTACCTGTTTTGTGTTGTAGGTGATAAAGGAGGCAATTCAAGAAAGCATTGAATACCGAAAGGAGCATCCATCCCGCTGTTCAGTGTCACTTAGTAATGTTGAGACACGGAAATTCTTTAACAAAAGCAAACAGCAAAACTGAACACTAGAGCCAAATTGTGACGGGAAATGTACCGGAATGGTCAAGTAAACACTTTTCACATGTAATACATGTGTATAACCAAGTAAAAGATATTATTTATTAAAATTCAAGATTTGTATTAGTTTTTATGTTGATTTTTATTGCACAATAACCAAAAGTAATGAATATTGAAGAGAAAATATTTTTGTATTTATCTGGACATTTTCATCTTCTCTGTCTCAAGCATTTAATGTTGTATGTGGTTTTTATCTTTTATGTGCCAAATTTAACCTTGCTGGACTATTTTTTTTTTTTTGTCCTTTTAATTTTAAGTTTACTTTTTCATGACAATTTTGAGATAATGTATTCCGTTTGCCACTGGTTATTATCTGGATCTAGTTGAATAAATCGAATGGTTATCAGGTTCCTAAAGCTCAAGTAAACTGATCTCTGTTGGCTGCTCAAAATCTTCTTTAGCATGCTGTCATATATGTTAGAGCATTTTTTTCTGTATTTTTAACAACTGTCTTATGTCAGCATAATCATAACAGTGACCAAGTGTACAAATAAAAGTTAGAATGTAACACAGGTAGCAATAAATGGGTGTTCTCGCCTTCCCCTGCTCTATCAATGGTGCTGTTGCAGATTTTGTTTTTCTCATTTCCTGTCTGGTGAAACCATTGTCACTGGACAGTAAGCGAGAGGAATTCTCTCTAAAGGAGTCCCGGATAAGTAAGAATGTGAAGGGGTTCAAATGAGGACATACACTTTAATAACATTCTGAAAATAATGCTGCTAATCCAGCAAATTCCTCTGTGTGGTGGGAATCTATACATTAAATGTAACGTATCAGCTGGTACACCTACTCTGCTACTTGCAAATCTGTTTTTTTTTGTGCCCACACTGTTCTTGGCACCATATGGTGCCAAATGGGCACAAGAACCCATAACTGCCAACAATCCCAATTTCTGACGCCATCTAGCAAAGCTCCGTCTAGTGGCTGGCAGGTAGAGGGAGCTGATATTATAAGTTATTGTCCTTAGAACATATACTCTCCACTGGACCAGCTAAAGCCCTGATGTTTACCACATGCAGAGAGGCAACATATCAGCAGTGAAACGTATCCTATGTTTTGAAGAAAGCTTGGGTACAGAGCAATGAAAGTTTGCTTTTTGCATTGTATTGATGCCAGCCTTCCGTATTACTGCTTATGGATCTATATTGTTAATGAAAATGTCACATTTATATAACCATTCTACATCAAATACTATCACAACATTTATTCTCAAATGTTATAAGCAAAAGGTAATGTACAATCCTCTGTAATAACTTTATGTCATATAATAAATGTCATAAAATTGAGATTTGCTAGAAGGTTGTACCTTTTCCAAATATGTTTTTATATATTTTACTCATTTATTGTATAATCTATTAATGTATTTTATAAGCTAATGACCCGATAAATATAAATTGTATGTGTAATAAAATGTATTGATTTATGCATTTACCTGTAGCTGTGTTATGTTGCTCCATAGCGACCTGTGACTGATATATACTCGATAGTTAACAAATCACCTCCTCTGCTATCCTTGTTTCACTCAAGTTACATACAGTTGTAAGACTTTTTGAACCCTTACAAATGAATGCATAAGTAGCTGTTAAATGGGAGCAGATCTGCATCTGAAATGTAATAAGAAATAAATACAGACTCATTTAATAAACAACAACGACATTTTTACATTTCTGTATTTTTATTGATATTGTTTAAATAAAAAGGTATCCAAAAGGCATAAGTAGTTTTTCAGTTTAAGCAGATCTTCACCTGACGTGTAATACGGTTTAAACCTTATTTATCCCAAGCCTCTTCTCAAATCTCACCAACTGTGTGAGTTTGGTAGGTAACCTCATATGCAAACATAAGTGTTGATTCACTAAAAGCAACTTAGTGAATGTGGCAAAAAAAATCACGTCAAAGAAATAGAAGAAAACAGTATTTGTTTGCACATGATTAGATGATGGAAGTCAGCAGAGCTTTATCTCATCTCATTCACTAAGCTAAGGGGGAATTCCCTTGAGAAGTGAAAAGCCTATTTTCCTTTAGTAAATCAACCCCACTTAGTGTCCCTGGTCTAACTACTTTTTTGGATCACCACAAAACATAAACTTTGAGGTTGGGCCTAAAGACAGGTTTGATAAACACTAATGCAAACAATCAAGGACATTGGGAGAGAAAAGAGTTTGTGAATTTCCAGGATAGAGAAATCTTGAAAAGATGATTTACGATTATCTCCTAATTTTATTAAAGTGCAATATGTCCAAATCAAAAGAGATTTGACGTGATCACAGAAGAAAGGATTTCTAAATATACTGTATGTGCCAACATAACCCAATGGGGGAATTTATACATGTGTTTGCAGCAACATTTTGTGTCCAAAAGGTCAAACCCTCCAAACTGTCACACATTCTAAAAGTCCTCCTGAGCAATTCTTAAAGTATCCGGCAGCGGCAGTATAAAAAACTCTGGTGATGTGACGAAATTGATACATTTCCCCAATGTATTATATATATAGTACAAGTACATCCCCTCATGTACTTGCCGATACCAATTACCGATACTTTTTCTTAAAGGGACAGGTGACTTTAAATGATCCATAGTACAACTACATGTTATGTACTATGGATCATGGTTTAACCTATTCATATTAGCAGTGGAGAATTGTAACTCTATTGCTGGAGTGTAGTGGAGGTGTGTGCTGTATATATGCACTTACAATGGTTTGCAGGTTGCTTTTGATAACCCTCATTGATTTCTATGCACCTGGGGAACCCCTAGATTCTAGGAACATGCTAACATGCTAAAGAGGGAGCCTTTACCTTTGTCTGACTGGGACTTGAGCCTCATCCACTCTAATCCCCACTAACACCATTCCACAGTTCAATGACAGGGCTGTGTTGGCCTGTAAAGGTTGTCATCTCTAACAGTGGATTGTTAAAGAGCAAGTGGGGTTGCTTTGATCTAAGTCAGGCAGAAGACTGAGTAGTGTAAACCTGTTATCTAATGGATCCCAATGTGCCTAGAAATCAATTAGGGGATTGTCAAAAGCATTTGCAATGTCTATACTTTACAAATCTTCTTTATGTAGACAGTTCCAAAACTAAATGCATAGATGTGGCAGGGACTGTTCAAATGGCTAGTTATAAGGTCAAGAAACAGAGAGGGTAGAGGGGAAATCAAGAGAGAAAGGATCCACAAAAATTATAATAAACGATTGTTGTTTGAACACACACAGTTGCACCCCAGGTGCCGGCTTCATCACTGTGAGAAACATTAGGGATGCTCAAGAAAATTCCAAAGACGACTGCATGATACTCTTACAGCTAATAATCCAAAAACCATAAGCAATATTTTAGTCCAGGGATCTGAGCTGACTACAGAGAAGTTATGGAGGATTTTTTCCCTCCTGTGCAGCAAACTTGGCAACAGTTGCATGGGTGGATGGGGTGAGGGGGTTAGTTTTGCCTTCGTTTGAAGAAAAGCTGCGGCAGTTATGAGAGGTTGAACTTGATAGACCTCTGTCTTTTACAACTTCATTAACTTTGTTACTATGTAAACAAGTGACGCTGTGCATAAGGCAGCGATAACTAGAATCGGTGTCACTACTGTTATTTGACCGCAAGCCTTCCAAAAACAATGCAAAATAATACCCCCAATAATGATTTTAATTCCTTGTAATGGTTGTGTGTAACAAGTTCACAATCAAGCATGACTTTCCGTTTCACATGCTATTACAGCACATTTAATCACTCATGTATTGTTGAAATTGTGGCATGTCCTAAATGTTGAAATACTACAACAGCTTTTTTGGATTTACAATGCCCGATAAACGCTTTCATCCAAATAGATGACGTTACTTATGTGTCTGACTCTATTTTTAGACACTTACGTGCAATGTATCATTTGCAATTCCATCCAGTCCAATATTCGTGAAATCCTATATCTCATATATTTGCTTACAAATAGGGATAAAATCTTTATTTATTACCTTTTGTGGTTTAGTCTGCTGACTAAATTATTAAATAGTCTTTTTTTTTTTATTCACTTGGCTGTCTGCCTGTGCTCTGTGTACTGTCTGCTAAAGTCTATTACTGCAATGAGTTTTTTCACATCAAGAAAAAGTTGCTGATGTATAATGCAAACAAATGCAAAATAAATTCTTTTTCAAGGATGGTACATTGGTATTACAGGCTTTACCACTATATTTCCTACAACTTTCCAAAAATATATACATGTTTATCATATAAAACTAAACAATAAAAGGTGATCAGCGCCAGTAAGTGTAATGTGGAAATATGAGCTACCAAGCACTAAGGATATAACTAAATATCTGGAAAATTTGAAAAACAATATTGTGCCGAGCTAATAATCATACATATCTAATAAATTGAAACATATATAAATGAGTCACATATGAGCCTTCAAACAAATGAGGCATAAGAAATATCTACACAAATACAAAAAAGCAATATAGGCAAAAAAAGTCCCAAGGAAAAAACAAACGCAAACGATGGTGATTGTGCACAAAATTCCTCAGATGATTCGCAACCAATGTGCATATAACTCTCAGGTAAGGATAATCACACAATGCAGGCAGACCTTCACCTCCACCCAGTGAGTGATGATAACAAGTGAATGCTCACCTGGGGAGGTAGACCCACAGAGCTAGGTCAAATGCACTTTTTCC